CTTTATAAATACACACTTTTTAGGTTAATAAATATGTTTACAATGAAAATATGTAATTCAGGGAAAAAAATGAAAAAAGTGGAATTTAGAAAAATAAAAATGGACAAAACGGAATTTGGGAAAAAATAAAATGAAATTTGGGAAAAAATAAAACAGATTTTATAGGGCCCTACAGAGTGTCTTCCATCTATAGGGGGATCACACTTCTAACCCTCCCTGGTAAAGTCTATTCAGGGATCCTGGAGAGGAAGGTCCATCAGATAGTCAAATCTAAGATTCAGCAAGAGCAGTGTGGTTTTCATCCTGGTCGTGGAACGCTGGACCAGCTTTACATGCTCAGAAGTGTCCTGCAAGGTGCATGGGAGTTCGCTCAACCAGTCTACATGTGTTTTGTGGACTTGGAGAAGGCATTCGACCATGTTCCTCTGGGACTCATGTGGGGGTACTCCGGGAGTATGGAGTACCAAGCCCTTTGATACAGGCTGTTAGGTCCCTGTACGACCAGTGCCAGWGTTTGGTCCACATTGCCGATAGTAAGTTGGACTTGTTTCCGGTGAGAGTTGGACTCTGCCAAGGCTGCCCTATGTCACCTATTCTGTTCATAACTTTTATGAACAGAATTTCTAGGCGCAGCCAAGGTGTTGAGGGGATCCATTTTGGTGAAATTAGGATCGGATCACTGCTTTTCGCAGATGTTGTGGCCCTATTGGCTTCATCAGATCATGATCTCCAGCTCTCACTGGAAAGGTTTGCAGCAGAGTGTGAAGCAGCTAGGATGAGGATCTGTGCCTCCAAATCTGAGACCATGGTCTTGAGCTGGAAAAGGGTAGGGTGCCCTCTCTGTGTCGGGGAGCATGGCCTGCCCCAAGTGGAGGAGTTCAAGTATCTCAGGGTCTTGTTCAGGAATGAGGGAAGAATGGAGCGGGAGATTGATAGGTGAATTAGTGCTGCGTCTGCAGTGATGCGGGCGCTGTACCGATCTGTCATGGTGAAGCGGAAACTGAGCCAAAAAGCGCTTTGTCGGTCTATGTTCCTACCCTCATCTGTGGTCACGAGCTTTGGGTAGTGACCGAAAGAACAAGATTGTGAATACAAGCGACCGAAATAAGTTTCCTCTGTAGGGTGTCTAGGCTCTTCCTTAGAGATAGGGTGAGAAGCTCGGTCATCTGGAAGAGGTGCAGAGTAGAGCCGCTGCTCCTCCTCGTTGAGAGGAGCCAGTTGAGGTGGCTCAGGCATCTGGTTAGGATGCCTCTTGGACGCCTCCCTGGTGAAGTGTTCTGGGCATGTCCCACTAGGAGGAGACCCACAGAAAGACCCAGGACATGCTGGAGGGACTGTGTTTCTCGGCTGGCCTGGGAACGCCTTGGGAATCCCCCCAGAGGAGCTGGCCCAAGTGGCTAGGGAGAGTGAAGTCTGGGTCTTTCTGCTTAGGCTGCTGCCCCCGCGACCCAACCACGGATAAGCGGAAGAAAACGTATGGACGGAGGAGACTGAGGTTCCCAACTGAGACACCCTCCAAGACTGCTTCTTGAGATTGTGTGCATGATACATATTAAAAAGAGAAATTACTACCCCAATCTACCACTCCACAGGTGTTGTCTTGGTCCTCCAGGTGAATTTAAAGTGGTGTGTCAACCATGATAGCCCCACAGTTTCCACAGCTTCCAGTTTCTCAAAAGTGAGTCTCATCCACTCCTGGTGCCCTGCCACTGGGAAGTTCTATAACTAACTTGGTGATCTCTGCCACAGTAATGGACTGGCCTTCTCCCAAGTTACACGGGAGTGGCTGTGGGTGAGCGATGAGAGCAGTCGCTCTCCAATGAAGGAGTTGGCRGTGTGATTCCATTACTATTCCAGACTTTTTAGTCACATGTCGAAGTGTCCCTGGGGCAGACACTGAGCCCCCACTGYCTCTGTGTCCSATCCAGTGTAGTAATATGTTTCAAGAACTGATTAGTCTCCAAAGAATGATCCATCCAGATTAGCTTTGTAGAGAGATCTAGTAGTGAAGGACATTTTGTATATTATTTACTGAATTTAACRTCCAGTCTTGTATTTTACACTTTGCGACTATTGCAGCCATATAGTTTAAACAGAGAAAGAGAGTAAGTCTTTATCAATATGTCCCTCTGCAATATAAACAAAGTTGGTTTACATTCTAATGTCTGATGTAAAAAGTATTGCCTTCAGGGGTGTGACCAGGGTTTCAGGTTTTCACGTACAGGTGATTCATCATTTTACATTAGTCTTCCTCTTAAAGCATGGGACAGATGCTGTTTCTGAGAGTTTATTGTTTTGGTTCTAATAAGATCCAAGGTCTTACACAGACCTGCTGCCTGGCTGTCTGTGGGCCTTATTGGAGTCAATTCTTTGAATGAAATTCTTTGAAGAGAATCAACTGGTTTTCTCTTTTATTTCGACTTCCAATTCAGAACAAACTTTTCTTACAGTAGAGTACTGTGTGAACAGGTAAATGAGGGCACAGATTGTAGTGTAAAGTACTTTAAGTGTCCTGGTTGGATAGAAAGTTGCTATATAAGTACATTTATCAAGTTATCCCAGTGAAAAACAAAGAAAATGTTGAATTTTAGTTGTCTGTAAAAAGGAGCTTTTTAAAGTTGTAACTTAAACTGTTTAATCTCTTGTTTAAAAAAGTTATTCTYGTCCTGATAGGGTTACAGCCTCACTCGCCACAAAGACGACTTTTAGTTGACCACCACTCCAACAAGAAAGATGACTCAACAGAAAAGAAGAGTGAAGATGAAGAAGGGAGAGGTCCTTTGGAGAAAAAGAAAAATGAGAGCACAGGCTTTACATTGCTGTCGGATCAACAAGAAAAATTTCTACCGACATCCAAAAGTCAGTTTCAGGGAACCTCCTCCAGTCTGGTCTCAAATTCAAGCATGGCAGTAAACCGGCGACAGATCTTCAGCCTGGAACCATTCCATCAGAGCAGCATCATCAGCAGTCGACAGAAGAGAGGCAGAGATGAGGACATGGAGGACAAGGATGAGACTGGAAATCTCAACAAGAAAATCAAACTCACCAATGGTAAGTCCTCAGAAATTATTTTGAACAATTTTCTGGGTGTTTTATTCTTAGGAATCTTAAAGATTTCAGTTATAACTAGACTGTTTTAGACTCATTAAGTTGTAAGCAGCCTTATTGTAATCAAGCTGTAACATGAACTGTGGAGTTTGTWAGATTTTCAACAATTTGTGCCATACTGTATATAAATTGCAATATCATCTGCATGCATTTTATTGTTGCAATTAGTGCAAACAGATAGGAGATAAATTTTTCTATGAATAAACAAAAATAGTCCAAGGATATGTCTTTGAGCAACACCTGTTGTCTTATCTTCATAGCAGATGAGATGTTTTTATTACAATTCACAGTATCGTCTGCATACATTTGTGTTCTGCCCTTACTAAAGGCTCTGTCAGACTACAACATTTTAGACAACTTATGCCAACCTATGAAAAAAAATTGTCACTGCCCGACTCAATACTATGACAAAAATGGGAGACAGACAAGCAGATCTGATGAGAAACGAATAATTTTTTCTAACAAAAAAGAAAAGTGTTGTCAGTTGCAGCCCATGAGCACAAACACTGCTGCCTGCTCCCACCCGGTCCAACCTGGAGGCCAAAACCCAGCAGCCGTAACTTGCAGGGAACCCGCCTTTTAACCCCCAGCCTGAAYGTACATCCGCCAACTCCCTGAAAGAAAAGCAAAACAACAGATACACCTAGTGTATTGAAGGTCATCAAACTAAATAACTCATGTTATGTATTTGATCTGATCTAATTGCAGTACATAATGTATGTCCAAAAGAGGCTTCCAGTTGATTTTTTTTATTCCATGTTCACTGTAGACATCCTCAAAGTTGAACAAGATTTTCATAAGTTGTCTAAAATGTTATAATGTGGCAGAGCCTTAAAATATAAACCTGACATCTAGCATYGCAAATACCTGAAAACATTATCAGTTACAATAAGGGCTATGCTAATTCATCAATTAGCATAGATGCTAACTTAACACTGAAAATTACATTGAAACACTAATTTGATTGGTATTGTGTTTATCACTAAAACTGCTAAACAAAACAGGCATATTAAAGTCATTACTGAAGACAGTAGCTACGTATGTTTACATGCGCAAAATTCTTTGATTAGATTGAAATGTATTCTGATTAAATAATTTAAATGCATTGTTTACAAGGGCACAATCCGATCGTGACAAGTGTTTACATGGACCAGGCTTTTATTCAGAATAGAAGCACTGACATGCGCAGAGTCGTAAAATTTCCTTAAAAAACAGAAGAAGCAGTTCTACTTCCGTGATGAACATAAACAAACGTCTTCCGAGTGCCCAGAATGGACTCGCAATAGGTTTTAATAAYGGTGGAGATGTTATTACACTCCCTGGTAGAGCTATAGATAATGCGCAGATTTTTTATTTTTTTTATTTTTCAAAACATGCTGCTTGTCTTCCTTCTTTGTTGAATGAGAAAAAGGGAAGAAAAGTTTTGTGCTGCTGGACACTACAGCGCTGCTGTCCCTCCCTCCACAAAAGTGCAGAAACCGATGGATGAAAGTCAGAAGACATGAACAGTCAAATCAGTTTTCCACAATCAGAATAAGATGATCTGATTAAGTGTTTACATGCACGCTGTTCAGATTATCAATCGGCATAAACCACCCCTTTCATTGCAATTAAAATTAATTCGGATCGCGCTGAATCGGATCAGAATAATCCAAATGGGGTGTTTACATGACACATTTTTACTCCGAATGGCCGTTTAATCTGATTACTTATGTCCATTTAAACATAGCTAAGCAATGACTTTGACTAATAATTACAAACATACTGTACTGTATGTTCTTCAGCAGCTACTCTGCTAACTTAACTATTTAGGGTTCAGACTGAAATTGGTCATTTTTAGAYTACTTTTGATTTTACATGTTTAACTTGCCATGTTTGGTGTCATTTTGTTTGGCACAATCTCATATGTGAATTTCCAGTTATATTTTCTGTTTGACATATCGTATGAACGCACTGGACCTAAAATCACACAAATAACATAAAAACTGAATGGTAAAAAGTGTTTTTTTAATTGCAAAAACAAAAAACTTGTGTAACAAACTATTTTTGCAAATTAGAATGCAAATACAAACAGTACATTTTGTAAACATGTACAAATTTACCAAACAACAACATTATACACTATTTTTAGGGCAGCTCTGGCTGGGTGGTTAAAGGAGTCGTTCTCTAATTCAGATAGTTGGCGGTTCAATTCCCCGCGTTTGGCATATGTTGAAGTGTCCCTGGGCACCGAACCCCCACTACCTCTGATGTTTATAAAAGTGATTTAAAACACTGATTAGTCTCCATAGATGATTTGTACTGTATATGTTAGCTTTGTAGAGACCTAGTAGAGTGCTGTRTGAATGGGTAAGTGAGGACACAGATTGTTGTGTAAAGTGCTTTACTATCCTGGTTGGATAGAAAATTGTTTATTTACCATTTTATTGAAATATAGACATTTTCCCAGGTAGTGTTTTTTGACAAAATTGTAAAAAACAATGAGGTGTCACAAATAAATGCCACAAATCATTTGTGCCATTCTAAAACTAAAATGATTATGTCTAAAAAAAAAGGCCAATGGCACATCTCATTCCTCGTTTTTTTGGTCATCTTCAATGCCCTGCTCAGGGTCATTCAGGTGAATATTCCAAAATATGGATCTGAAATCGTTTCTTGTCATTGTTTTCACTGGAATGGGAACAAATAAAATGTGGTTTTGTTTCCAGTAATTCTGGATACTTGGCTGCCATACTAATAACATGTAAATCAGGTGACCAAATAATTTATTCATACCTAACATGTCAATGTTAGTTTGTACTTTTTTACTAATTTTTTTCTACTAATCTTTAAGTCTTAGCTGCAATCTTATTGCTGCTGCAGATTGGTCCTGACTGTGTCAGTGGCAAATAAACAATGATGAAAAAGATCTTTTGGACTATGTAAGAGGAAAATGTTTAGTTGGACCAGGTGTTCTCTGTAGCTGGAACCTGCTTATTACCTCTGGAGCAGCATCAACATCCTCCTTATACTTCCAGGGCTCAGAGCTGTGATGTGTGACTCTGTTATGCCAGCCAGTGGAGATCTGGCGTGCCGAGCCATCCCCACTTCTGCGCAGACGTCCGAGTGGTGCTCGGTGCACACTCTTCCTCTCTTTCCTTTCAAACAAAATCACCCACTTAGTTGTAGAAGTCCTCACTCTCTGACTCAGACTCTGTTGGGGGCACCAATCAGATTTTTACTGATGATATTTATTCACCCCTTTTAATCAGACTCATATACCAAAGTGTGAATTCGTAGGATTTAACAGTGAACTCTCCCATATCAATGAGTACTCAGGAAAAGATACACTCACCAGACACTTTATTAGGTACACCTTGCTAGTACCGGGTTGGACCCCCTTTTACATTCAGAACTGCATTAAACCTTCATGGCACAGGTTCAATAAGGTACTGGAAACATTCCTCAGAGGGTCTGGTCCATACTGACATGATGGCATCACACAGTTGCTGCAGATTTGTCGGCTGCACATCCATGATGTGAATCTCCTGTTYCACCACATCCCAAAGGTGCCTTGAAATTGGCGTGTCTCTTTAAGAAATAACTTCACTGAGTGAGAAGTAATGTTGAGAGCTCAGCAGACAGTTAGGTTTCACTTTCAATTTCACCCGAGAGCCTGCAGGAGTCACGGGCGGGGGGAGGGTGGTGGGATGGGGGTGCGCTCTGCCATGAGGAAGTTCGGCTTAAAGACACATCCCAGGGGTGTTTCTGGCCCCCAAAGGCCTCATGCATAAAGGATTGCACAGCTTTCACACTAAAAGTTGACGTACGGACAAATTTAGAAAAGTGGGCCGCACCAAAAAATTCAGATGTATAAAACTGTGTGCACGCAGGTTCCTGCGCACCTTTCCTTTATACATCCCAATGAACGTGGAGCTGAGTGCACGTGAGACACCTCTCCTGACACGCCTCCATTTAAAAATGTAAAATAGATGTAAATGTGTCCAGTGTGTGAGATTCTCCTCAGATTGTCCTCTCTGTGGGATCAGAAATGATTTTTAGATGCAGGAAATTTAAACATTAAATGGAGAACGAGTGAGAAAACTGTCAGTGGGGTGTAAAAAAGTATATGCCACCTGCAAAGGTGTGTGTGGGTGTTGGTGTGTAGGCATGTGTGCTGCAGCGGCGCATGAGGCTGATAGACATTTCCACCTTTACACGTCTTTAATAAATGACTGTAAACACAGAGGAACTGATGAGTTTGGTAGAACTTAGAAAAATATTTATTTAATAGTTGATGTGAAGAAACGASTCGCAGCGCTGCGAGTTTCTGCTGCGGTGTGGGATTTATTAGAATCATGAAGTTTCTCATTCAGATCAGCTGCATGSCTCGGCTCAGAACTACAGTAAAATACCTGATTGTAATTTTTTTGGTGTGATACAAATAAACAAAAAAAAAACACGCTGTCCTCAATTCTTCTTGTGGTGATATCAGCCTGCACAACATCTGACATTGTTCCACAAATTACGCACAACTTTATGCAGCAATAAATCTATTGTCTGCGTCTTGTAGGACTGCAGAATCATCACAGCTGAGCTGTTCTGAATTAATCTGCTGAGTTGACAACGTTTTTTTCTCAGTGAGAATTAAAATGTTTCTTAGACAATTCACACATTTTATTCTCCTCAGCTGTGTTGTGCTCCGCAGGCCTGTGCTCTGTGTGTGTTTCCAACTACGTGACAACAACATAAAAAGTTTTCAGTTTACAGACTGGACTGAGGTTCTCTCATCAGTTTTAGACTGACCTATTTTCTTGTCTGAGGTTAAATGATTTTCAGTCCCGGGGTTCAGTTTCATGATTGTTTGAGTTGAAACAATAAAAACTCAAACTAAAATAAAAATCTAGCACTGCGTGTTCAGACACTCCTTACATCCAGAAAACACAACAGAGTCATATTTCTGTGGATTCAGGTCAGATTCCTGACTTTGTGGGTTAAAACTGTCGACTGAAAAACTTTGCGTGGCTGCCGCACATTCTCACGGCAGGTGAAAAGTGAGCGTATATTTATGCACACTTTCATACAATGTTGGTTTGGATACATCCCAACGTGGGAGTAGAACCTGACGCATGCAACTTTTTATGCGTACGCACTGTTTATACATGAGGGCCCTGGTCCCCACCTGTCGTTTTGCTCCTCAGCATGGCTTCCTAAAAACGCTACAGGATTTCTCAAACATGCATGAATG